AGTATTTCTCCTCTTCCTACTTCACTTTCTAAAAATCAACTGAAAAATGTCCTTGGGTGAGGACTAACAACAAAAACAACAAATTAAAAAAAATAAAACCCAGAAAGTTTAACTAAAAAATGTAGAAGGAAGGATATAATAAAGATAAAGCAAAACGTAAAGGCATAGGAGACAAACACATATGAAGAAAATTAATAAAACCAAAAGTTGACTCCTTGAAAAAATTAATATAAAGAGTTTTGGAAGGACAAAGTTAAAAATCTGGATGTTTCTTTTTTTTATTTAAAAATAAATCCAGCCCTAACTGGCTCAGTGGATAGAGTGTCGGCCTGCGGACTGAAGGGTCCCAGGTTCAATTCTGGTCAAAGGCATGTACCTTGGTTGTGGGCACATCCCCAGTAGGGCACTGTGAATACTAGCCAGAGCAGTAAGGCAAGCAAAAGAAGTAAAGTGTATGTAAGTAAAGGAAAAAAGGAATAAACACATCTTTCCTCAGAGATTATTTATTTGTGTCTGTAAAAAAAATCAAAGAATCTACAAATGAGCTTAAAATAGTAAGTAAATTTAGCAAGTTAGACATAAGTTTAATAACGCAAAATGTGTATTTCTATAAATAATAACAACTTGAAAATCAAATTTAAATATTAAAAAACTGTAATCACATCAAAATATAAGATCCATAGGAATTTAAAAATGTGCCTGGCTTACAGTCAAACCAATAACCCAATTTCTTTTACTTGAGGATCTTAATTTTTAAAATATATACTATAGAAAAGGGATACTCAGAAGTTAATCTAACAGATACTGCACTAAACAGAGTCCTCCAGAATAATTCAGTGAAAAGAGATTGACACTGGTTGATGATGAAATGTGACTTGACAATTAGAAAGGAGATGATGTACTAACACAGATGGACAAAAATAATGAATATCAAAAAGATAGTCACCATACTCTGAGATGTTTCTACTGCCTAAGAAAAGCTATGGCCCAAATTTATCCAAGAGACTCATCTAGAGAAATTTTTATTCTTCACATTAGAGACCCATGTAACCACACACTTAGTTGCCTATCAGTATCAGGATATACAGTAGCCAAAGGCACCTCTTTACAAAATCAAACCTGCTTTTGGAGTAAGTTGATCTAACCTCCAGCAAATTCTGCAGAACTCAAAAACTACTTAAGTCCATACACT